ATTGTAAATTTTGGTCAATGACATGAGACAAAGTATATGTGAACTGCTGTATGAAAAGTGAATTTACTCTGTAAATCTTCACCCAAATCCTAATAAAATAAATAAATAAATAAAAATAAAAAAACATCCTGAATATTAAGTCTTCTTGGATATTTGAAACTAAAAAGGGGAGCCCAGAGTAATAAACCAGAAACCTCATTTTAGTTCAGAGGCAAGAATAAACTATAAATTAATAAACTGGCCCTGTAGTATACATAAATTAATCACTTATAAATCTGGTCATAGTGAATTACTTTCCCAGAGCCTCATTTCTCCCCTCATTCCAGTTAAAGAAATCACTGTCAGTATTAGATACGATCATTGTACTTACTTGACTATTGTAGAGTGCTTCTAAAAGAGCTAAAGATTTAATAGACTTTGATCTGCAAATTTCCTCCTCTGTAAATTTCTGGATATCCGGATGAACCTTCTGAGTCTGACCCAAACGCAAAAATCCTACTTTAAACTTTGCTAATTTCAAAAGAATATTGTCAACAGCAGAATGTGTATAGCTGGTCAACAAAACACTAAAACCACAGGCATAGAGAATTCTTACCTAAGAATGGATAAGAAAGAAAGGAAAAAAAAGGCATTACTCTGAATTCCAGATTATTTTTAACATGCTTGTATTTTTCAAGAAGAATTGGAAAATATGAAACATCTAAGAGCTGAGCCAAGTAACTTTTTTTTAGATTATAAAGTCAAAATATTTTCTAAAAATTACATGTTACATAATAACATCAATATTATTATGTTATTAATATTATATATTAGTCTCTGGGTGGCACAAATAGTTTGCATTTGGCTGCTAACAAAAAGGCTACCAGTTTGCACCCACCCAGTGGCACCATGAAAGAAAAAGCCTGTCAGTCTTTAAAAAGAGTGACATCCATAGAAAAAGCCTGCATCCATGCAGGTCAGAGCCAAGAAAACCATACGGAACAGTTCTACGCTGTAATATGTGGAGTTGTCATTAACCAAAATCGACAGCACAATACAACAACAATGATATGTTAATAATACATTATTAGTGATAATAACATTAAATAGATATAAACTTTTAACAGCGCCTGGCACACACTATTAATAAATGTTTGTTGCCATCATTATGATGATTTTAGGACTGCTTAGGAATGTACTGACATGAAAAAAAAAAATCCAAGATCTATTTCAACCACTTCTGTATAATTTATCATTTTTAAAGGAAAAGGAAAACATAAATGATACATATACCAGCAGGAGAATGAGATCTTAGAAAATTCTAAATGCAAGAAATTAATAACATGATTACAGCTGCTTATGATGCAGCTTTATTATTTCTCAAGTCATCTAAAAAAGTTAAACTGAAACAAAGACATTCTGAGTATCAGCCTTTTTGATATCAAACATTATATCCTCTGAATCTAGAAGATGATATAACTTTAGTTTCTAAACACAAGAATAATAACCTTACAAGAGTACATATTGTAGTTGTTTTTCCTGTCCCAGGCATGCCCACGATGAGAGTGTAGTCTTTCGAAAGAAGTACCTTTTTCATTGCTTGCCTCTGAGGTTTATTCAAACCTATATTTAAAATTTAAAATAACAGAAAAAAAGTGTTGGGTTTCAATAAGTAAATTAACTATTCCATAAGAAAAGCAGCCTCTATACAAATCTGTTACTTAATACATCTTTTCAGAGTAACAAAATGTTATAGTGACCTAAAAGGATATTGTGGTGGTTATGTTTGTGTATCAACTTGGCTGAGCCTGGTTGAGTGGCTGGGCAGCTGATGGTAGTTGTTCCCCATGATGAGACTGGCAATCAACTCCATGGTGGGATCTACCACAAGAAGCTGAGTAGCTGCTTTCAGTATGTGGTCTGCCTCCCATATATAAGCAGCAGCTTTGGAAACGGTCTCTAGCCTATGGCATGCTTGGAACCTCATGTAGTTCTGTCGTTGTTCAGCAGCCTGCCATGCTTTGCTGACCTTGGGACTTATAATAGACTTGAATTAATGGCCTGCCGTGTGGTTTGGTAACATAGGGACTGTGCCATTTTATTTGTTGACCTTGGGCTTGTTAGCCTCAGCAGCCAGTAACTGCCTGAGTAAAGAGATGCCTCTAGCTTCAGTGGGCCGGGAGCAAGAGGTAGAGCTAAAGCCCTAGGTCGAGGGGCTTTCACACAGCCCCTAGAGCCTGGCACTTTGGACTTGGACTTAAAGTCTCCAAACTGTGAGGGAATAAACTCCTATTTGTTAAGGCCATCCCATCTGTGGTATATTCCTGTCGGAGCGGCACTAGGTAACCCGAACAGATATGATGTATAAACTTCTTCCAAAGACTTTGTCTAAAAACTGTAATTGCAATTCTTATACTATAGTGTAATTTAAACTATTTTGTTGTTTGTTGTTATATGCTGTCGAGTCGGACCCGACTCATAGCAGAATAAAAAAAAATTATTGGAGATAGACATGAAGGTAACAGCAGACCTTTGAGAATGCAGGCAACTGTATCCTTTGCATCATGTGGAAGAATAGAACTGAGGTATGGTATAAACTGAGGTTCATGAAAGTCAATGATTAAATCCCGAAGTTTTTTGCTAGAAAGAAAAATAAATAGTTTAAGCAATAGTATTAGAAACATTGGGTGAAATTCAAATCCATTCACTGTTACAAACCTGACATAAGTATTTTCCATCAATTTAGAAAGATTCCCTAGTGGGGTAGCTACATCAACATTCTTTTCTTCCTGGTCTAATCTGAACAAAGTAGATTCTGGGAGTACGGACAAGTTCCTAAAACAGCAAAACAGATACATATGTTTCATTTAACATAGTAAGTTGGTCTGTAGAAGAAATATGTTGCTATTTTCTAAAAGAGTAAATGTGCCAGAGCAACTATTAAAATGACTAATCAAGCCCAAATTCATACTTGGCAATCAAAGAGAGCATAAGGCCTAAACTGGCAGTGAAGGACCTAGGAGGAAGGCACAAGGCACTAATGTCAAAGCGCTCAATAATCAGGAACCTACAACACTTACTGCAAATTCATTTGGCCTTGCAAATCTCACCTGGACTCACTGACCCTGGACAAATGCTGAGCATATAGCTCCTCCCTCCTCCAGCCTGGAGTACAGGCCTTTCCTGAGGCATTCTCCAACTGCTCTTCGCCCCTTACACACTGGTATCCCCTAGGGTACCTTCCCTGGTCTACTGTATGGCTCTTTCTAGTCATTTTCCTTTTGGTCTCATGACCTCATGTGGCTTTATATTCCAAAGCTACATCTTCAATCCACACCTCACATTCCCAACTGGTTCCATACCCAAGCTTTCAATTAGGAGGTCCAGCAAGAAGCAAGACTTGGTTAAAAGCCAGGCTGTGAGAGCCCAGTATATTCAAAACCGAACTTCCCTTTCTCCCTGCAGAACCTGACCCTCACTCTGTAGTCCAGATCTCAGTTACCAGCATTTGCACCTACATCCTTTCTTCTCCCTCACTTTCTTCCCAACCTGCATAAGCAACCAGCATCCAAAGGCTGACCAATTTTATTCCCTAAATACTTCCAAAGTCACTGAATCATCTCTGCCAACAGAGATTGAATATGTTTTGGAATGAGAGAGAGCTGATGGTTGCACAACCCTGTCCTGTATGGCCCCTTGCCTGGGCAACTAAAACAGCATCCTGGTTTACCTGTTTTCATTAATTAATTCTACTCTCCACAACGCAGCCAGAGAAAAAGACAAATTTCAATTATCACTTTTTTGTTTAAAACCCTTCAATGCATCCCAATAAGACCCTTTGACTCATCCTCTCTAATCACACCGTCAATTCTATTTTACATTCCAAAAATACTGAATTACCTTCACTTCCCTGGATACTCCGTGTCATTCTCTATCACCTTATATCATTCTTTTGCTCAGCATGCTCCCTCTATTGCACTCTCACAGTGTTTCACCATGCTAACTTCATCCACAGGATGAAGAACCAGCATTAACTCTTTCAGAAAGTCTTCCCTGAACCACCAAAAATTGGGTTAAATGCCACTCTTCTGTGTTACCCATCAATTCAAGCCCTTATCACATTAGATTGAAAAAATATATATGTGTTTACCCATAAGACTATAAACTCTTCTCAAGGGCTTACATGGTATCTAATACATGGCAGGCACTAAATAAATACTGCAGGGGACTATAAGGAATTCTAGTAAATGACAGGAATTTTGTGGCTTATATTCCCATATCATGAAACCCAAACTAGGGTTGAATATGGCTCAACTAGCATTAATGGTTAGTAAGGGAACAAGCCTGGATATTTCCTTTGTGATTACCCAAAAGTCAGTGAACCCCAATGGTGGTTCTCCATCTTTCAAGAAATAGTGAATCATGTCCACCTTTAACTGCAAGTAAGGCTGAGAAAATAGAACCTGGCTGAGAGTGCAGAAAGAGGTGAATATGGATATTGGTAAACATAGATATTCATCTTTGTCACAGATTTTCCTACCAGCTATTAAAATATTTACATAATATTTGTATTTAAATCAACTCCCTTTATTTTTACTGAGATAAGTATACTTTATATCACAAATATGAAGGAATAAATAAAATGTAAAAAAAAAAAAAAGGCAAACAAAATGATGAGTGCTGAGAAGGAAAAGTAAGCCTTTCAGCTTACACAGGATACATGTGGTCTTGAGACTTAGATAAAATTTGTCCAAATTAGCAGTATGGGACATAATGTATGAAATGAAAGTTTGACAGTTTCTCAAAATGTTAAACTCAGAGTTACCACATGACCCACCAATTCCATTCGCAGGTAGTTATCTACAAAGGGAAATAAAAACATGTCCACATAAAAACTACATGAATGTTCATAGCAACATTATTCATAATAGCCAAAAAGTGGAAACTACCCAAATAACCCTCAGCTGGATAAACAAAATGTGGTACTACCCATAAAACAGACTATAACTCAGCAGTAAAAAGGAGTGAAGTACTGATACATGCTACAACATGGATGAACGTGAAAACATGCTAAGTGAAACAAGCCAGACACAAAAGGTCACATACTGTATATGAAATAAATAAAATCATGGACAGAAAGTGGATTAATGGTTGCCAGGAGGTGGAGGCAGTGGGGATGAGGAGTGACTGATTAAAGAGACACGGGGTTTCTTTTTGGAATGACGAACATGTCTTGGAATAAGATAGAGCTGACGGCTGCACAACACTGTGAATGTACTAAATGCTACTGAATTGTATACTCTAAAAGGGTTAACGTTAATTTTATGCAATGTGCATTTTACCACAGAGATTAACCTCAAAAACAATATGCTAACTAAAAAAAGCCAATCAAAAAAGACCACATACTGTATGATTCCATTTATATGAGATAGTCTGTAGAGACAGAAAGTAGATTAGTGGTTGCCTAGGTTGGGGGACCTGGAGTGAGATGAAGGGTGATGACTGCTAAAACATACAGGGCTTCCTTCTGAGTGATGAAAGTGTTCTAAAACTCTTACAGGCAGCCATCTACATGCAATGATGGGTCTCTCCCTGTCCAGAGCAAAGAAGAATGAAGAAAACCAAAGATTCATGGAAACAATTAGTCCTACTGACTGGTACACCATGCGATCCACAGCCTATATGACTAGGAGACCAGAAGAACTAGATGGTGCCTGACTACCATTGTCAACCACTCAGAGGGGGATCTATGTAGGAGATCCTGGATAGAAAGGGAGAACAATGTGGAACAAAACTCAAAATCATTTGGAAAATAAAAAGGGGGGAGGGGAGACCAGACCAGGTTTGCTTGTCTGATAGAGCCTGGTGGAACCACTGAGACTATGGCCCCCAGCTGCCCTTCAGGTCTGGAATTGAACCCACACCTGTGGCTTCCAGCCAAACAAAAGACAGGTATATGAGTTGAACATTTACCTGAGGTAGATATACTCCTTGGAGAGAACAATCATGGGAGAAAGAAGGGCTGCTTATGCACAGGGAGACAGCTCAAGGGGCAGGAGTGCATGGAGGGATGGAGACAGGGAAGAAGTAACTATCCAGAAGAAGTGGGAGGGGAACTGTTGCATTGGAGTTAATTGTAGTCAATGTCATGAGACAAAGTGTATGTGAACTGCTGTATGGAAAGTGAATTTGCTCTGTAAATTTTCAACCAAATCACAATTGGAAAAACAAAAAAAGTGTTCTAAAATTGATGGTGGTAATAACTTTGTGAATATACTAACAACCAGTCACTTGTACATCTTAAATGGATGAAATGTATAGTATGTGAATTATAGATCAATAAAGTTGTTACCAAAAAAGAAGTAAATGCTTTATTACCTGTCTAATAAACAGGTTACTGTTGTCATGTTAATCTTCTTCACATATCCCCTAGACACAGCAAAGAGTGTTCTCTCTTCTCCACTTACAATAATTCTGTCACCTGCCATTAGATTTGTGATGGGCATGGCACCATTTTTACGTTGGAAATTATGTAAATATTGTCCATCACAAACTTTCTTTACCGGTTCTGTTCTAATCAGGTTTCCAAAGCAGTTGCCACTCTCCTCCCTATGAAAGAGAAGAGAAGAGAAGAGAAGAGAGAGAGAGAGAGAGAGAGAGAGAGAGAGAGGGAGAGAAAACTTATATTTATATCACATACTGAATTTACATTTTCCCACAATTTACCTTTTCATCTGACCCCTGGGAATGCTACTGTCACATTTTTCACAATCTACACAAAAGTGTTAGAAATGCTAAGTGAACATTTCCCTATTATTACTAAAACAATTTTGAAAAAATATACTAATAGAGAAGTGCTAGGGAACAACTCTCATTGCATCCTCACAGGCTGGGATCTCTGAACAAGGTGTTTACTGGCACTTTAATCCTCCACTGATGCCCGTCTTCTATGCTGATACACATAACATTCCAAAAACACCAAACTCACTGCTATCAACTCGGATCCAACTCACAGTGACCCCCTCCTTGGCTTTCCGAGGCAGTATCACTATGGAGTAGATTGCCCAATCTTCCTTTCAAGGAGTGGCTGGTGGGTTTGAACCACCAGCCTTCTGGTTAGCAGTCAAATGCCTTAGGCACTATGCCACCAGAGCTCCTACACACAACATTATAGAAGATAAGTCATATAATCTGTTCCTGAACCTGATGTGAAAAAAATTAATAACCAATTTCTTTAATGTTTACTAGAGGACTTATCATCACTGTTACTAAAGTAATGGGAAACAGCTATGGAATACAGTTTAGCAATTCCTCAAAAAGTTAAATATAGAGTTATCATATGGTCCAGCAAATCCATTCCTAGGTATATACCCAAAAGACCTCAAAGTTGGGAATCAAATAGATACTTGTACGCCAGGATTCACTGAAGCATTATTCACAATAGCCAAAAGGTGGAAAAAAACAAGTGTCCATCAACAGATGACTGGATAAACACAGTGTGTTTTATCCATACAATGGAGTATTATTTAACCATAAAAAGGAATGAAATTCTAATACATGCTACAACACAGACGAACTGTGAAAAAATGCTGAGTGCAATAAGCAAAGGACAGATATGGTATGATTCAATTTACATAAAATATCTAGAATAAGTAAATTGATAGAGAAAGTAGATCAGAGGTGACCAGAAGCTGGGGGGGGGGGGCGGAAGAAGAGGAGAGAGTAATTGCAAAGTGGGTATAATATCTATTTGAGGTGATGAAAAAGATTTGGAAACATACAGTAGTAATGGGTACACAGCACTGTGAAAGTAATTAATGCCACTGAATTGCACACTTAAAAATGGACAAATGGCATGTTTAATAATCACTTTACTATAGTAAAATAACAATTTTAAAAATAAGGGCAAATACATTAGACCAGAAGAACTGGATGGTGCCCAGCTACCATTACTGTATATTTTGATCAGATTCCATAAAAAATCTTGATCAAAAGGGGAAAACACAGAACAGAATTTCAAATACTCATACATTCTAGACTTTCCTGAGCCATGGAGGGTAGAAACTACTACCCTGAGATAATTTTTAAACCTTAAACCAAAAATATCCCCTGAAGTTATCTTAAAACCAAACAACACCCTAACTAAAATAAAGATCTGCCTTGAGCATTATGCTCTTCTAAGAACTATCTTTATGGGATCAAACTGACAACAACTCAAAAGGTTAGATAGCAACCTTAGTGTGCAATGAAGTTATGTTAATAAAGAGTAATTCAGCAAAGAAGGGATGAGAATGAGTGTACTTATCAAAGAACACAATCAATGTCACTAAATTATACATGTAAAAATGGTTGAATTGGTATGCTTTGCTATGTACATTTTCAACAAAAACAAAATAAATAAAATTTAAAGAAAAAAATGGCAAAAAAATTTAATGATTCCATTGCTTCTAAGAAAAAATTATTAAGTATTTATAACCTGTCAAGCAATACTATTTAATATCATACAACTTCAGAGGCTTGCTGGCATAGTCATTGTAGTTATGTAAGTCTATTTACATTTAAACGTTCTGCACTGTAGTATTTCTTTGTATTGAAGTCTAATGTGAAGGAAATAATCCAATTATTCCAAAAGTCATGTTATCATCAATATTCACTCTGGAAAGGCTACAGCAACTAAATTTGTATAAACAAAAATACTATGCGAAGACATACAAAATTACAATTTTACAAGTAAGTTGTAAAAAATGAAACTCATTAAGATGGGGCTACTTTAGAAAATTTGAATTTGTATCAAAATGTACTGAATATAAACATTTTAATACTAGTATTTAAAAACCAGGTAAAACCTCATTAATTTCCACTCTACCATACAAATATGTACCAATTTAAGATATATTCAAGTATATAATATTATCACTGTTTTTTTTTTAAAAAGAGGCTTACTAATAATTTTTTAAATGTCATGATGCATGTTTAACCTATTGAAAATAACTAGCAATGATTCTAGAATATAGTATATGTTGAAATAATGCTCTACCTAGAAATAGTTCATTGACAGCCATCTGGAGTTATGTATATATGAAATAGCATATCTTTAACATGCTAAAACTTGTTGCCATCAGTTGGATTCCAACTCATGGTAACCTTATCTGTTATAAAGCAGAACTGAGTTCCATAATGCATTCTTGGCTGTAATCTTTACAAATGTAAACAGATCTCCAGGCCTTTCTTTTGCAGTATTTCTGAATGGGTTCAAACCACCAACCTTTCAATTAGTAGTCAAACTGTTTGCACCATCCAGAGACCTTTCAATTGATTTGAACATGCCACCTTAACCTATATTTATCACGAATTCCAAAATGGCATCCTATCCAAATTCCTCAAGTTTTACTATATTAAATGGACACTTACATTTCTGAAGCAGGCATTAGCCATATATTTTGGTGATTTTTTTGGCTGTCCTTTGATTGTGTTTCCAGGGTTAACATTAGACACCAAAGGCTGAAATACTCTAAATGTGTAAGCTTCAGATGCTGGGTTTCTTCTGTTATTTTGGGCAACATGCCAATTGGGATCGAACTGTCATCCATCTGTTGTTCAAATGCTCTAAATATAAAGCTCCAAGTTAGAGATGTGTGAAACATTTCACTGGCTGGCAATGCAATGAAGTAGTTCTAAAACAAGTACACATACAAATATGATGATCATAACTCTTAGTTAGTTTAGTACCTAACTTTAGAAGTCATTTCAATATTTTACAAGCTATGTGGTTTTAAAAAAACATACACAAGGAACTGAATACAACATTATTTTGCCTTCAATGACTGTGCCCTAAATAACAAATTAGGAATACCCTAGTCTTCATTCCTATACACACCAAGTTTTGGCTTTTTCTACAATTTCATTTCTGAAAATCACAATTTATGTACTGCTAGCTCTGTACCATAAGAAAGTAAAAATGGAAACATGGAGAATCATTTGGAGTATGAATTTTGCGTAAACATTTTTATATAAAACAAACATTATAGGATAGCATACAAAATATCAAGAATCTTTTGTTTTAAAGATTTCAAAGAAATATATTTGTCCTATTGGCCCAGCTGGGAGCTCTGGTAGCATAGTGCCTAAGGCACTGGACTGCTAACCAGGAGGCTGGCGGTTCAA